ATTTTTATTTAAACAAAACTCTTAAAAAAGATTAAATTTATGTATAAACCGCGGTGTTAGACATTTGTCTGTCATCTGTTTGTAGTGTTTTTTTGTCTGGTTGTTGAAAATTTGATAGAAAAAGAGATAGAGTTCTGTATAACACACGTATAGGTGGTTATTTTAAATACGTTATAATTTCAAAAATTGCACGTTCACGTACATGTGTACCAGAATTTAGCACATCGTTTTTACCGCTATCTACATATTATATTACTAGCTGACCCCGTGAACTTCGTTTCACCTACAATTTAATTTTGAATCTGCAAAATCGAATGCTTTGAAATCTTGCAGATGTTTTAAACATATGATAAGCATAATAAATTTTTATTCAAAATATATTTACTTATCCCGTCCAAAAAATTGATGACGTTAGCCCAAAATTTTGCCAAATGAATCCTATCTAAAATGTCCAAAATAGGATGAAACTATACTTGTGATTTATCATTCCATTCATATTTTTTAGTTTTGCTTATAGGGGGTGTCTCAAAAAAATTAATCAGTCAATTTATTTTATTGATTGAATCAAGAATTACAAAACTGAATTTTGAAATATTGCAGACATTTTGAAGTTACTGTTTGACATGGTAGGTTTTCAATCAAAATATATATGTTTATCAAGCCCAAAAACTTGAAGACGTCATCTCAAGATTTTGCCGAATAAATCCTATCTAAAATGTGGAAAACATCATCAGTATATTTTCGTAATTTATCATTGCATTCATATTTTTTAGATTTGCTTTTACAGTGACTCAAAAAATATATGGATCAGTCAATTTATTTTAGTGAATAACTCAAGAGTTGCAAAAATGAATACTTTGAGATCTTGCAGACGTTTTAAAGTTATTGTAAGCATGGTAAATTGTTAAGAATCCCCAAAAAATTGATGGAATGGCTCACTCGATTTTCGCAGATAATTTTGGGAATACAATACAGTTATTTTTAGTATTACACTGCACCAATCCAAGGTGGTATACGCGTTGATAGTAAATGTTGATTAGGTCATCACAAAATTGTGTGAAGAACAGACTCAACTCGAAAATGCTGAATAGGTTTCATTATACTTTTGGTGCGAAGGAAGTTCTGTCGAAACAACGTTCGATCAATTTTTTGACAATGGTTGATATAAATAAAACTCAGTAGATGCTCATACTCGAAATACGAAGCATCTACTCGAATATCAAATCAAAATATTTCTAGTTTTTCTAGATGATACTAATACTTCAGTATGTAACAGTTGATGCTCAAGTAGCATCTCGATACAACAAAAAAGGACAACAGTGACAGTGTTCAACCATCAAGGCAAAAATCGAGTACCAAAATATAAGTTAGCATGGGGTAGACACCTTGAGATGGGAATCTCTATGGCCAGTGTTAGAAAAAACGCACTGCACAATTTATGCATAAATAAAATGAAAAGTTTTCGATATTCCTGCTCCTAATGTGTTTTTCAAACTGAATGCACCTTTTGACGACATTCCACGTTCATGAAAGCCACCATGTTTAGTTAAAATTCACTCTTACAACGATCCTACTGGTTTTCTAAGCTGGTTTACAAACAGCTGTTATTTGCCACGCCGATGCTCATTTCTAGATTAAATGCTCACAAAACGCGTAGATGTTCAGTTTGTGTCCGGGGAGATACAATGTTTACAAGTAGGTACTCAGTACATAGAGTAGATGCTAGATGCTCAGGTATATAAGAGTAATAATGAAGTAGGTACTTCGTACTTCGAATATGAGTATCTACTCAGTTTTATTCATACTACCCAATTTCTCGCTTCAATGTTTGATTATGTTGATTATGAACACAACGCTGATCAACTTCCATATCCGAATTACCTATGAAATAAATCATTGCGGTTTGCACCTGAGGTAATTCGTCGCACATTTGATTGACTTCGTGGACCTATGTGAGCTTGTCGTCTTCTCGGTATTTTAATGAACTTCATAAAACGACACAGAATCATTTTCACAGTCAATCAAATCTGTAAATTTTGTCTTGAGAATTTTAAAATATTGAAAACTTCAAATTAAATCCTCGAATAACGGTAAAGTTTGAGGTTTTGTCGAAACCAACAAAGTGAATATAGGTAAAAAGAATGGCAGATCAAAATGAATAAGAAACTTTCGCAATGTGTAATTAAATTCACTTTAACCAAGACTTTTCTTAAAATAAACGACGTTTTTTTTACGAAAAAACAAAGAACGATTTGAAATGCAATATACTTTTCACAATCGCACGGAAGAATTAGTTTTGTATGACACGTCAGTTAGACGACAGGTCCGTCAGAAACGCCAACTATTGAAATTAATTCGAAGTGGCGATTCCCATACAAAATTTTTAGATTTTTTTTATTTTTTAACCGTTCTTTTAAGTTATCCTTATTTTTTTATTTATAAACCATCCCCGTAATATAAAAAAATGTTCAAATCGGTCAAACCGTTTTTGAGTCTTAGCGAGACTAACAAGGAACAGCAATTGATTTTTATTTTATAGACGATTAAAAAATGGGGGTTGGTGGTAGAAAGGTGAAAATTTAGGGTTATGTGTATTTTTTGATGCCAAATCTTAAAAAAATAAAAAAAAATTTGTCCAAAAAATAGACAAACATTTTTTAGGGTGGGCCACCCTTATCACTTAGGGGTTTAAAAAATAGTTTACAACTTATTGTCAGACCTACCGAATATACACAAAAAATTTCATACAAATTGGTCAACGCATTTCGGAGAAGTTCGGTTACAAACACTGTGACGCGAGAATTTTATACATAATGCATTATTATTTTAGAACAAATTTCATTACCATAAAAAAGGTTATACTGACTTGACCTTAAAAGATAGACATATGCTGTCGCGGACTTTTCTTTAGAACTTTTAGAGGGGAACAATTTCGTCATACATGATTTTTACGTAACTTTAACCGTTTAAGCAGCGTAAGCAACGGAAGCTGTCATAGGAGGAATAATTTTCCCGTTTTTCCAAATTTTTCATTGCTACTTCGCTCCTAATGATTGTAGCGTGATGTTATATAGCCTATATGTAGATATGATACATGGACTATCCAACACAAAAAGATTTTTTGAATTTGAACCAGTAGTTTCTGAGATATGCGTGTTCAAATAAACAAAAGCTTCAGCTTTATTATATAAGTATAGATTATGAGTATAAGTAACTTGAAAAACCACAATTTCATTGCTGAAATAATTGTTATATTACTTAATTATCACATATGATTTCAAAAATTTACTCTTGAGTGTCCTGTGTGAATTTTTTGTGTATTTGTTCGTTGATTTCTCCAGATCTCTGGTAAAAATTAGAAAAAACAAATTGTAATTGTCAATGTGTAGCCTGGAGACTTACCCTGAGACTCCCGATCAAGTGAATGTTAATAAAAAATGGACTTAGTAATCTGTGAAAATACAACAATGATGACGAAGTAATCTGTGAAAATACGACAATGATGACGATATACATATAATTAACTTTAATTAAACGCTTGACATATTTTACATAAAATTATCCCAACAATGTGCAGAAAGTAATGCCAACTAATAATATAATTAATGTGTAATGTTGAATTTCTGGTTAACGTTAATGATTAAACGGTCGAATAATAAAAAATGAGAAAAATACAATGTGCCACTTGCAGTGTTTTAACTTATTTTTGGACTCTTGTTTTTTAAAGAATATTCACTTTTATTTTATTTGAATATTTACAAAAATTCTGTAAAAAATTTTGTTAGAGATACTTTTTTTGCTTGTATATTTGACTGCCCTACTGTACACTGTCTGTGTTTCACTTTTAATAGTAGTAAAACTATGAGATACTATTTGCCAAGATATGGCCAATTCGCTTTAAGGAATCTAACTAATTTATTAGACAAAGTATAAATGTCAATCATCGCTATCATAACGAAATAACAATTTCTGTCAAAAAGTTTTAATTACTAACACACTTATTAAATACAGTCGTTTCCAAAAAATTTAGGGCAAGATGAGCAAATCAGGTTATCATAGATTAATGAAAAGCAATGGGAATATGACTTTAATGTCAATATCATTTGCCCGAATTTTTTTCGAAACGACGGTATGTTTGTTTCAATTATCCACTGCAAATAATTTTCAAAATATTAAGATAATATTATTTTGGTAATTATTTTGGGCAAATGTACAAAAACCATCAATTTTTTACTAGAGTGTAAACCATGTTAACAATAAATATTTATTAAATATTTATGTTCGTCATGTTTTTCGTTTTGCGTAAAATAATACATTCTTATCAGGAACAATGATGTTATAAAATATAATATAGGACCTGTTGGTTTTAGAATTTAAAAACGGACGACGGAGTACAAGAAGCTTCGGTTGATCTATCATTTCAATTATTAGAAAATTATTAACACGGGTACTAGTTAATTACGCGTATAAAATTAAATGAAAAAAATCACTTTGCACTTAGGGTAAGTCTATATTATACAATGCAAATATATACTTAAAGAGAAATAAATTATATTTAATTATTAGGTGCGCCATTTATTCCCACAATTATGTTTTCTGTTGTATCTGTTTGAAGAGAAAGTTCCATAATTCAGACATATATCATACATGATACCACTGGAACATTTTAAGGATTATCTATAAAAAGGTTTTAAAATAAAAATTTTATGTGATCCAGCTTTTTTCATGACTTATTATGAATGACCTTTTAGCCCTAAAATGCTTCACTAAAAAATGACAGTTTTGTTGTTCAGTTCAAAGGACGGAATATTAATAAACCTTTAAAATAAATGTTTTTGATTTATGATAACGCATGTACTTTAATGTGATCTTTAATTTTTAATTTTATATATTTATTATTAACAATTTTATTTATTACATAATTAAAAAACCTGTCACAAATTATAGGAATATTTAAAATAAAAAAATCAGTTTACTAAAAAAAAATTAAATGTACTTACTCTCCACTTCTTTATCTCCGTAAGACGATTTGCTAAAACACAACCTGCACTTCCTGCACCTGCTATTATGAAGTCGTATTCTTCTACATTCCGCTGCGTAATTTTTTCACTGCCCCATGTTTGGTCAAAAAAATTATAAAAATCTGTATTAAAGTCGTATTCACTGCTACCATAATCATTATTAGAGTCCAAAGATCGTCCAAATAATTGAGTTACAAGTTGAAGGAACAAAAAAGTTTGTGGCTGACAGGCGGTAATCGTGGTGTGCACCGTACATGATTGAGCTAAGTTGGGAGGTATCCAAGACATGCTGCCACTAAGGCGTACACTAGACTAAGCGTTTTCAGATCAAGTGTAGAAAGTACAGGTCTATTATGCTTAAGCTTTTTTTTATGATTACGTCTGCAATAGTGCGCCTTCCCACGAAATAGATTTTCCTTAACTATCTGCTAGCTCGATTACGCGAAATAAAGTGACAGCTTTCGTGTCGCGTCCTTCGAAACCACGCACTAAGAATGTGTCAAACAAATTGAAATGCCATGTTTTATTGCCGTATGGAAATTTCAACGAAAGTGAAACCTTGTAACTATTCGATTTTTTTTGTTTGAAAATGTATTAATAATGAAATGACTAGCCACAACATCCCAGGAAGGTGCAAATTTGGCGGCAAAAAGAAATTTGTCTCGCTTCGACGCTTATTATCTAAATTTCGCTGCACTTGCTCGATTATCCCCAACAATTTAGTACAATTGCAACAATACTGAAGCTAAAAGTTTTTTAGGACGATGACTAATTTTCAGTAGTAAAAAATATTATTTCCTCTTTTCAGTCACAAAAAGGCTCTCAATATAAATACGCAGGTTTATTAGATTTCAGTAAGTTTTCCCACGTTACGATGTTGTGTGCTTAATTAACGCATTCCTGTCGATTATTTCAAAACCATTCTGTTAAGTCATTAAAAAGTGCATTGTTTTGATGCAAGTTGCAATTTTCTGCTGAGTTGCACAAAATACAACACATTAAATTTTTATGTATGGTAGGTACATCTGTCCTATAGTAAAAAAGTATCCGCAAAAGTCCCTTGCCCCTAAAGTACAACGAGCGTTAAGTGTACCTTAAAGCTTATTTCTATGTATGTGACAATACAACACTTAATCATAACACGATTGTTTCAAAAACTTCGGAATATTTGGATGAATCGTTTTTAAGATAATCTGCAATGGAGATCAGTTCATTCATTACTGTAAAAAATAAATCGTATTACCGGAGCACAAACAGGGTCGCATTTCGAAATGAATATTTCAAGAAAGATTTATATCTTGTTTAGATAACACCATCAACTTTTTGATGAGGACTTGTACATTAATTCTGATATATGTATACAATCTCTCTCAGGACGTATTTTTCCAATTTATTAACATTTCTATTGTCGTCACGATTTTTTTTTGAGAATAAAATAGGTATACAAATTCAAATTTATAAAATTACTCTTGCTAAAATTTTGAAGCATTTTTTATGTTACAGTTTTAGCGAATTCTAAAATTTCATAATGTAAAGTTAGTTTTTTCGATCAATTTGAGTTGAGAAAAAAATGTAGCTAACATTTCACTATCTTCAAGAAAATTTTAAATAAACAATAACTAGTTAAAAACACCGGTATATTTATGTGATTGGATAGATTTTGGAAGTTCACATATACAGACAGGGTTTTCAATTGGTTTTTCACTACATTAGAATTAAATAATTATACTGTACAAAAACGGTTTCATTTAAACGAAATTATTTTTACATAAAGCTTTAAAATTTAGTGTTTGATAATAATTATTCATAAATTTCAAAGTGGAATAATTTCTCATTCGGTTGTTGCACATCCGCCGAAATATAACTGATGTTCCGTCAAACTTATACCTGCAACTTCCCAAAATTAAGTACCTAACACGCACAGATTTTATAACTTGATGCACTCACCACTTTCCTATAATTTCACGCTAACACCAAAAGGTTTATAACGCATGAAGCGAGATTTTATTTGCATTTTAATTTTTAAAAAAATGCATTAAATATGCAACGGAATGCGTAACTAGTTTTTTTAACCTTTCAATTAGCTTACATAAAATGTTACAGATTTAAAAAAATCGAACAACTAAGTTAGCATAAATCAAATTGCCATTGTTATGTCGTTTTGTTACAAACTGGACTTGTTTTTAATTTTAAATTTTTAAAATTAAAGTGTTTAAATTTCTTATTACAACACACTTTTCAGGTCAAAATGTATTATCTACTGTTATATCCTTCAATCATGGACTGGATTTTTTATAAGTTTTTAAAATTAAAATGTTTAAATTTCTTATTGCATCATGCTTTTCAGGATCAAAATTTAAACGACAGATATTTTTTTAAATAATATGTCTAACAAGTTTATTTAATTGTTTGAATTATCTCAAAAAAAAACCTGTTTCTAATTGTTTCGTGTGTAATGCTGTAGTCAAAAACAGCTTTGAGTTCTATAAGAGTCAAAAAATGCATTCCAACTTGGCCAGAATAAGTAATTTACCAAAAACAATGTAATAATCAGACAGCAGTCACTCAGGTAAGGCAAAAAACTTCCAGTGCACCTGTACCTAAACCTCGCGTCGGAACAACTAACCTTGACGTCATTAACTGCACGGTTCAAAAGAGTTAGTGTTTTCGTCATATTCACGCATATCGATCCAAAGATGTCCATACTATCCATTCGATATAAAACGACTAATTCTTTGTCAAAACAGCTAATATTTTAGCCTGATAATATTTCTGCTCATCCTTTTTTTTGAAAGGCACGGAAAACCAAATTTTTTGGAATGTCTACTTTCTCTCTGGCAAAACTTACTAGAAGAAACATATACAATTTGAACAATCCACGTATATATTACTTAATTTAAGCTCATAGGGAACATCATAAAAAAATCTCTAAGCTAAATTTGATAATCTTTCGAAGCTGTATTTGTTCGATTGTAGTTTAAGGGCGAGGAAAGTTCAGTCGAAATACCCTTCGACAATTTTTTTTTTAATATAATGTTTGAAATTTCGTATTCATACTGGCTAGGCTTCAATGTTCTTCGATTCCCATATCCCTGTTTCTAATTCTAATCTAATCAAGCACCTTCGATTGGGACTTCTGATTGAAGATCAGTTAAAGAATTTTATTGCTTGGTTGATTGACTCCAAGTGTATTTATGAATGTCTTCGTGCGCTAAGTAACCATTCATTATTTTCAGAAAGAATTGGTCGCAGAGTTTTCGTAATCCAATGCAATTATTCCCCTCCCATGGTTATCTACAATTAAGTCTCGAGCATTTAGTTTCACTCTCCCATCGAAATCATCCGTTAAAATTAATTATTTGCGGTTACTGATGTTATTTAGCACTGACGTCAGTTTTTCAAAAAACTCGTCCTTGACTGAGTGAAGAGTTATCCGTTGAAGCGTGGACACCTAAAACGCATGATCCAGTATTCCAGTACATATTTAATGTTACTATGGCTACTCAGTTCTAATACTGTCAGTCGATCTTTTGTTGTCACAACTGGCACATCTTCAAATCGTTTGCGAATAGTATCAACTTCTAAATTTGTCAGCAAGTTTGACCGTGGAATGAACGGTAAAAAAATCAAAACATCTTTGAAGAAGATTGGTGCAACTGCACACACGACACGTGATAAAAATTCTGCTATCTTTATTAAGAAAGCCTAATACCTTATTTATTTATCACCAAAAACTACATCGTCAGGATTATAGTTTTAAGAGGAGATTACCAGATATAGACCCGTTTCTAATGGATAACCGTATGTATCATCCTCACACGTCAATAACGAATTCCGTTAGTTTTGACGATAGAGACGTTAAGCTCTATCTAATTGATGGAATCGGCTTAAAGAAAGCAGTTGACTATTATTTTCGTAAATGAAGTTAACAATATTTTTTAGTCATTTTGTAGCTGATGACCACTACCAAGAAATGGTTGCTTATTGGAATTTAGGAGGAGATATATTTCCAGGAGGCGTTGCTTCACTTTTGAGCTCCCCCTTCTGTTTACCTATTCATAAACTAGTGCCCATATCTCTAGATTATTCTTATTCATTAATTTTTTTTCTTAATCTAGAAACTATTCGCGAAATAAAATTGAAAAAAAGCCAACTAAAATCGTGATCAACTGCATGGTAGTACTTATGGTTCTTGGAGCTGGAGATGAGGGATTAGATTTCAAGTACTGTACTCTAAGTTAAGTAGATTATGTAACGTGATTCAGGTGCTGATGAGCAAAAGCTTTGAATTACTGCGGTTATGTGTAATTATTATTGATTAAACACTATTTTTTTTTACTTCCCGCGAGCAAGAAAAACGTAATTTCATCTTTTCTCAAAATTTTATAACTCCTATGGCGTGAAAAAGTACTTCTTTTATTTGCATTTTTCTGTCTGTCGGCGGTTGGCGATCTTATTAGGCAGATAATGTCTGAAACCAATGGACTGCTTGTTGGAAAATTTTAAATGCATTTTAGGAACATCGTAAAACTCTAACCAAAATTAATCTAATCGATAATTTTATGACGCAACTTCAAAGTTTCCTAAATAAATCATATCTAAAATGTGTAAAATAATATGCTTCTGTACCTGCCTTTAAACCTACAATAAAATTTTGCTGTTTATTTTAAAAACTGTAAAACCGCTTACTACATACTTTAAAATTATTGTGAACATGATACATCGCCAGGCAGAACCGATTTGTTCATCCCTTCCAAAACTTTAATGATGTCATCTCCAAATTTTGTAAATCCTACTTAAAATAACAACATACTGTATACTCAGTGCATCAACTTCTTCATTATGCTAAGTGAACAACCTTATTAAATATTAAATAAATCTAGTGTCAAAATTAAATTATATTAAACATTTGAACAAAAATTGTTATTAATTATATTAAGTTATTAATAATTTTTCTCGATTCGAGTTGAGCCAGGTAATAATTGAACAATTGCCTTGCGTTTTCTTACAGTAATAATTGAAAGTTGATAACTGAAACGAACAAATATTGGGACTTCTGACTTATTTGGTATTGTGTTGTAATCGCTATTAACATTCATTCAAGACTGTAAAATGGTAAATTATACCGTGATAATTTTAAGCATTAAAATATTCAAATACCGTTACTTACATTGAAAATAAACAATATAGGAATTAAAAACGGTTCTTTAGGAATATAAAATGATCATAACACTTCCACTTTCCTCGGATAGGAAGAGGACTTTTTATTTTATACGGATAATGGCTCAGTTTGTAATTACGTTTACA